CATCTCGTTTATCCTCTTTTTTGTGTCTTCTTTATGGATTTCTTCCTTGGCTTTAAGACAACAACTAATGGACCTGCTTCTATTGGTCTTTGAGGTGATGAGGACGAAGCCTCATCTGAAGTGTTTAGTATAAAGGAGACAAGCCCAGTTGCAGATGCTTCAGAAACCACTGGCTTCTGAAGGTCTTGGGCTTTCAAACTTGTAGAGTTCACTGTGACTTCTGTCACAACAAATATTTTTTCACTCTCAGTTGAGGACTCCATGATCATTTGATGGATGTTGATGAAAATGATCTTGGTTTCGATTGCTTTTATAATGGATTTTGGGTAACTTAAACGTTGAAATAAAATCCTTTTCTTGATTCTTGGAACTGTTACGACCAATAAATATTTAACATGCACTGTACAATCCTTAATAATCTCTGTTACTTAATCAATTTCTCTTCCTTGGGAACTGGTTACGTAATGATGCTCTGCTACACATTAATGACTATAATTCTTTTCTTTTTCTTTTATTCTTTTTTATGTGATAAAAGGGGGAGAAAAGATATAGTAGTATTAGAAACTGAATTTATTCAGTTTGTATATATTGTCTATTTTAAATTTCTGTTATTTTGGTTATGTTACCTTGGAAACATATTTTAGCTTTCTTAAAAATAGTTCTAAAGGGGGCTTACAAACCTCAACATTAAGCTACTAGACTCAGAAGGAGCTTAGAAATCTCGGATTCTGATGTTGCTAAGAAAGTTAAAATATTTTAGTTTTCTTGAATATAGTATTTAGGCGAGTTTAAAGAGCTTAACCTAGACTATTAGACTCATGAGGAGCTTACAAACCTGGTCCTTGATGTTGCCAAGAAAATTAATATACATTTTATTTTTCTTAAAGATAGAACTTAGGGGGAGCTTACAAACCTCAACCTTTAAACTATCAGACTCAGTGGAAGCTTGCAAACCTCAAACTCTGATGAAACTAAGAAAATTAAAATAGTCCAACATTGTCCTTTAAATACTTATGTTTGTTATCATAAAAAAGGGGGAGATTGTTAGAACAAGATTTGTTCATGACATATATTCCTTAGGTTTGGATGATAATAAATTATTAAAAGAACAATGGTGTTAACTAATGTGTGTTCCAAGTATGCAGGTTCTAATGCTTAAAGTTATATATTCAGAATCTGATATATAAGGACACACTTAAGAGAAGCTGAATTACTAGCTTCTGGTGGTGCTGAATCTGAATAACACTCTCTAAGTGATGTATGGTGTAGACTCTGAAGTTGAAGATCTCATCATCAGAAGAAGCAACATATTGTCTCTTCACTTGGTGAATGTAATTAATTTTTGGTGATGATTCAGAACTAGTGATAAAGCTAAAGTTATCCGTACCATAAAAAGTAAGTTGTATTGTCAAATCAGTTTGTCAGCTAGAGTCTAAGTTCACAAGGCTAAAAAAGAGTTAACACACTTTACGAGTATCTACTCTCAATGACTCTATAGTACACAATTACATGGAAGACACAATGGTGAAACGTCATGCTACACAATAAATTAAGATCTTTTGGTGTATCTCTCTTCAACGTCTCTTGTACTATGGAGAAATAAAAATACTTGTTCAAGTTGTCTCTTCCAATGGCTAGTCTTCTACAACTGTTATATAAGCTACTGAAGATTCAAACTAAAGTCTTGAACAAGGGAGCAATCAAAAGAGAAAACATAGAAGGAAAGCCAAGAAGGATAGATGTGTTATACACTTCTGTCTGGATGGAGAACAACAGGATCATACAATGAGCAACACAATCGAGTATGCATGTTTTCTGTTATATGTTGTAAATTGTAATAAGCCTTAAGATTTCTTAAACATTGAATATCTTAGAAATCATAATTGCTTAGAGGTCTTTGTTAAGGTGACTACCCTGTATCACTGATGATTGTATCAAGTACACCTTGTTTCGTATTATGCTAAATATAATTGTATAGTGGTTTAGATAAAGTATCTTGCTATGTGCTTGAGCGTCAAAGTCTCTTTCTGAGAAGCTTGAGCCAAGTAAGTCTCCTGCTATGTGCTAGAGCATTGAAAGTCTTGATCATTTGTTGAGTGAACAGAAGTCTTGAATCTGTGGGATTTAAGCAAGGAAATTTTAGACTGTGAGTTTGAGAAAGGAAGTCTTGAGTTTGTGGAACCTGAGTAAGGAAGTCTTTAGTTCGTGGAACTTGAGCAAGGAAGTCTTGGGCCCGAGGGGCTTGAGCAAAAGTCTTGGATTCGTGGAATCTGAGCAGGGAAGTCTTGGAATGAGGGTTTGAACAGAAGTCTTGAGTCTGAGGCGCTTAAGCAAGAAAGTCTTGGATTTGTGGAACCTGAGCCGAATTCTTGGACCTTAGGGGTTTAAGCAGGAAGTCTCGTACTGAGGGTCTGGGCAAAAAAAGTCTTATGCTTAAGTGCATAAGCGATTGTAATCATGTTTTGATTATAGTGAAAATCTCTTGTGCTGCAAGGGGACTGAACTACTCTCATTTGGGAGGAACCGGTATAAATCTATGTGTGTTCTCTTATTATTTATTTGCTTTTGTTAACATCCACTGCAACGTATAATCAGAATCTGAATACTAGTTTAGATTTTAAACTCTGATCAGATGCAAACTAAAGAAATAGAAAACACAATTCAACTCCCTTCTTGTGTATTTTTCTCACCTTCGAAGATGGTAAACTAATCAGGCATTTGTCCCTAGCATGTCGACGAGTGTCCACACAAATAAATCAACATTCCTCCTTAGTAGGGCGACCAACTACTCTTATTTTTCTTTGGATAAGGTGTACGATTTTGTGACTTGAAAGTCTCATGGTCTAATATGAACCTTCTTTAGATCCTTTGTAGGAGTTAGCATTTCCTTCTGTGACTCTATCCTAGGACCTAAGTTCACAATATTCATTCCTTGCATGTCTAGTTGTAGAATGATGACTACGACCATATCAACTCTTTTTATTTTGAGACTGTTTTGGTAACATTCTCGAATGGTTGCTTGATCCCATTGACCTGCCCTAACTCATTCATTAGCTAGAGATATTTCATGCTCAAACACAAGGTTGAAAAAGCACCCTTAGCCGGTTGAGGGCGGGCCACCATACGATGATGTTGTATGACGAAAAGGCGTATACTACGAGATACTTGACATTGATTGTCTTCACGTTATTGTCTATCCCAAACGTTGTTTTTTAGTGTTATATGGCCTTTCACTTATATGTGCTCGCTTGACAGCCTGAGCAAATTGCCTCGAAATGTCTGAATGTCATCTGAATCTATTCAGAGTTTCTTGAATGCGTCCTAAAATAGGATATCTATTGAGCTTTCAGGATCAATCAATACTTGCTTTATATCCAAATTGCCACACTGTACCATAATGGCAATGAGTGAGATCATTGTTATAAGGGTAGATCTCGTTGATGTCTCTACTAAAAAAGACGATTTTGGGTTCTAGTTCCTCTTCAAGGTTTTGTTTAGGCATGACGCGCATGCCACCCGTTGCAGAACATGCCAAGTATACTTTTGGCGAGAAGAGTTAGATTCTCCACCTCTAGTGAACCCTCATGCTATGTTGTAAATGAATATGTGGTAGATGTTGCAACGTCTCACTCAAATACTATGTTAAAGAGGGTGTCTGATCTTCCTAGATCGTTATGCATTGACCACCTCATAGCCACATGAGCTAGGCGGTGTGAATCGTGAGTTTCAAACTAGACTCTATCGAGGTGTTCACCTTACACGATCCACCCCAATTGAACGATTTATAAATCCATTTTAATGGCTATTGTCCATATTTTTGAGGTCATTTGAGGTTTAGTGTATCCAACTAAATACTACTTTCTCATTAGATATCTTTTATGGCTAACAAAATTATCCTCTCAATATGTAAAATTCTTAAACAACACTTTTAATTTAACACAAAAAAAATCACTTTTAAATCATTTGTTAGCGTGGTGGCCACATAATTACTATATGTATGTATGTTTTAGTCCTATTCTAACCATACAATAACATGATGAGAGGATTTCAAATCCGCAATCCACCATTGTATAATGATATTACACTCATTTTCACTTCTCTTAAAAAATACACAAAAAAGTTAAACTATCATCATAATCATGGTACTATAAATGAGAAAATTTCTCATCACTAAAGTCAATTATCCTTCCCTCATAATCAAAAGCCGTGTTGGTCTTTGTAGCCTGTCCCAACCTACACCTAAGCAGACAATTTACTAACTTGTAAATTGGTTAACTTATTAATTCCATTCCATAGAATCTCTCAACACACATAACACAATTTACACCAAAACAGAACAAAGAAATAGGGTGAGGACACTTTTTGATCAGTAAACTGGTCCCACTTCCACCGTCTGATTCCCAAATCGGAAACCATGAGAATAATCCATATTGGCAACACTCCAACCAAGGCCCACTATCACGTGCTTTTTTACACAATCACTGAACCGATTCGAACCGGTTTTGAGATTCGTGATTCGAACCGGAATATTTCAAATCAGGAATGAATATATCACACTTTCCAACCACCAAATTCCTTTCCCTCGATAATATTAAAATTAATAGCCGATTAATTATACCCTCTTTTATTTACATTTACCGCGCTATTCTTTGTTTCTCTCTGAAACGTTATTTTTATTTTTGATCCAACAACCGAAGAAATATACACACTCGGAAGAATCAAACCATGAAAATTGCGTTTTGCTTAGTCTTTTTCAATTTTCATTAGCATCTTCAGTTTACTTGTAAACGCCAACAACAACTGCGACTCAGTACATTTTAGTTCAACGGAATCGAATTTCGTTGTTAATCTAACTGTTACGGTATTACGCATCTTTGTATCCGTCCAATCAAGTAAAGGTTTGTTAGGTGGTTGCTCCGCTGTGAGGGTTCTTTCCGTGTGCGGTGATGTAGCGGTTTAGGTTTTTTTGGATGTGCTGGATGTGTGAAGGTGTGAGATAAATGTTTGTCACCGGGGATTTAGGGTTTTTGAACCTAGTCCTTGTGGTGGTTTGTGTGGTGTTGCCGGTGATTGGTTTTGTAATTCGGCGGAAATGGCAGGTTGCGGTGGCTAGGAATGAGGAGATCAAGAGGCTTTTGGTTTTGGCTGCTGAGGAAACGGAAAGGGTTGAGAGAGAGGCGTTATATGTGTCTGCCCCGGTTTTCGCTGCTGCTAACAGTTATCAATGTGCTCTCTGCTATTTTCCCGCTACTGCGCGATGTGCTAACTGCAAATCCGTTCGCTACTGGTGCGTTGTTATAGTCGTTTGAATTTGTTAAACTGTGCTGAACCATTCAGCTTTTATTTGGCGGCCTGGTTTCTGTTTATTTGGTTTTGTTTCCCTTATGATTTTGTGCAGTATTTTTCTTGTTTATTGTTAGGAATATTAATTTTTATGTTAATTTTGAGGTTGTTAATTGGCGTGTATCTCTTATGGTTCCTAAGTACATTATATTGGATTTGCGATTGCTTATCATAGCCAATTCATAATCTCTGGATTGTTTTACAAACCCAGTTTTGTATATAAATTAAAGTACAGATGGGCATGTTGGCTGTTGCATTCTCATGACTAATGCCGGTAGCCTAGTAGAAATAAATTTTATGCTGCTACTTTCAATTTATGATTTGGAAGAGAGTAAAAAATGTTTCTTATAATTTTGCATCTCAAGTTTTCGAGAGGTTTTGTGACCTCTTTTACACACTATACTGAATGATTGAGAGGACTGTGAATGATATGTAATAATAGGGTTTGAATGCATTATTTTTCCGTAACATATGTTCGTTAGGGCAATTTTGTAAAATAATACTTCTTTCTCATTTGACTGGTTTCATGTTTTTCAGTTCTACTCATTGCCAAACTGTTCATTGGCGTCAAGGTCATAAATTTGAATGTCATCCTCCCAGCAAAACACATCAGAGCGATGGCGTAATAAGTGGTATTGACAAGAGGAAAGTGGAGCAAGATTACTCTGGTATCCATGAGGAGAAATCTGAAAACAGAGGTGCAGAGTGTAAAATACCCTCTCAAGCTATCAGCTTTTCTCCCAAGGCTTCATTTGGAAAGGATGATAATATTAAAGCCGGGTTCCTTACGGAGGAAATTTTAGCAGATACTAATTCTGAATTATCCAGTAATTCATTTTCTGGATTTTCGGCTTCCCCAAGTGCTAGTGATTCATCTGATGATTCCTCTGTCTGTGAGAGTATCGTCTCAAATGAGCATGACCGATCGGAGGGACATATTTCTTTTGTTCCCACCCTTGACATTACTGATAAAACCACAAACAATAGCAATGTGGATGCAGCAATGTCTTCTTCTCCAAAGTTTGCGAGTTTGCTTGATTCAGTTGGTGGTTCTTCTACAGTTCACAAATTAAATCATATCACACCTGATTCTAGTAAAGAAGAGAGGGAGCTTGCATCAAATGGTGCTTCAGGCTCAAGCGTGTGGAAGGGTGTGAAAATTGAGCCTTCTGGATTCTGGGATAAAGCTCTTGATTCAGGAGGGATTAAAGATAACACTAATAATAAAACTTATCCATCCCATTCTGATGAATCCACTTGTGGAAAGACTGATTCTGAATTGTCATTCCGCTTTCAATTTGGCACCATGCCTCCTTTGCATGTACGAGATACTGAGGCTAAGGAATCTTTGCCTGATGGCACTCTTCCAAACTCTGTTGGGAAGAATATGCCACATCCAGGATCAGCATCATCTGAGAACAACAACCTGAATTCTTCAAAGGTGAGGAACCTCGCATTCACCAATAGTGGAGATCCCAATTTTATAAGCAAAGCTCGCAGTGGTTCTGGATCTGATCAATTGGAATCTAAAGACAGATCTGAGCCACCTCTACACCCCTTTTCCTCCCAATTCTCCAGGATTGGCAAAGATCCAGGTTCTGCAGATACTAAGAGCATCCATAACTTGCAACCATCTGACTCCGTGGCATCAAATCATGTTGTGGACAACCATGGCTGCACCTCTAAGTCCACTGATGTTATAATCAAGACACACGAGCTTGCTGATTCTAAAATAGCTTCTACAAATGAAGGACATTCACAGCCAAGTGCAAAACATAGGAATAATGGCATTGAATATGGGACTGTCACTTCTTCTCATGTTAGCTACTCTGCAAATTCTAAGTGTGGCTTGAAAACATCTGTTTTAAAAGTCGTTGATCAGATTAGAGGATCAAATCTGTCCAAGCACACTACTTTATCCCTTGGGAGTGATATTGCTGGAAAATACAATGACAAGGTTCTTCTAGAACAAATCTTAGTGCATTCTTTTTTTTGCCTTTGGGGACTGTTACCATACACTTTTCAACTGCTGCAGGGTCTTTTTCCATATGAATCATTTGTCAAGCTTTATAACTTCAACAAGGTGGAATTGTACCCGTTCGGTCTTATAAATTGTGGAAACAGGTAATTTTAAATTAACGATAGGGGATAATTGGAGCAGACTTATTTAGAATATAATAAGTTGTATAAAATAATCCTTGCTTGCCAATAAGGATAATTTACTTTTTGCCATGTCATTAAATGATTTATGAAAATGATTAGGTTTGTTAATTTTTTCTGGAATCAATTTCTCTTTTACTGTTCTATGTATTTATTTTTGGACTTTTCTAACTTTGTAACTTTTTTTGCAGTTGTTATGCTAATGCTGTACTTCAGTGCCTAGCTTTTACTCCACCCTTAACTGCTTATTTTCTTCAAGGACTACATTCTAAATCATGTATGTGTGAATGGTAGTTTCCATCATGGAATCATTACGTGCCCTATATCTTGAATACCATCTGAAACTTGTAATAGTTCCCTTGGGTAAATATCTCCATTGTAAATTTCAGGTACAAATAAAAAATGGTGCTTCACCTGTGAATTTGAATGTTTGATTTTGAAGTCAAAGGACACAAAATCTCCACTATCTCCAATGAGCATACTTTCTCAATTACAGAGTATTGGGAGCCAGCTTGGTAATGGCAAAGAAGAAGATGCACATGAATTTATAAGGTGCTTTTTTACACTTTTTTAGCTGCCAAAATCAAATTATTGTTTTATAATTCATTTTAAGCTAATTGTGTGACATACTTGGCAGACATGCTATTGACACAATGCAATCTGTTTGCCTTATGGAAGCTGGGGTTAATGCATCGGGTTCATTGGAAGAGGACACTACTTTAATGAGTCAAACATTTGGAGGATACCTTCGTTCAAAGGTATTTTTATATTTATATATGATAAATTAATAGACAAACTATTTGCTATGATTTTCCATATGCCCCAGTCACTTGACATACATTGTTGGCTTGTTTTTGAAATACATAATTCAATTACCATTTTAGTTGATGCATTATAACATCCATTGATTAGAGATAACAAGGAAATTAAACATTCAGCTCATACTTGGCAGATAAAATGCATGAAATGTGGTGGGAAGTCCGAGTGTCAGGAAAGGATGATGGATCTAACTGTTGAGATAGAAGGGGAGATATCAACACTTGCGGATGCTCTTCGGCGTTTCACAAGCACTGAGACTTTGGATGGAGAAAATAAGTACCACTGTGTCAGGTTGGTTAATGTTTGGGAGGCCTCTTTAAAGCTTTCAATCTTAACATATGATAGGAACTTAGTTTACTTAAAGAAAATATGGAAACTAGTTATTCCCAATGTAGGTTTATGTGATCTCTCAATATGCTTGCTTGTTTATACCTTCCCACTCTGAATATGCTAGCTTGTTTATACCTTCCCTGATCTAACCAATTCTTCTATCTGTTTGTGATTTGTTATTAATGGTCCCCCAGTCTCTCCTTTTTCCTTCTTTCACACACTTGCAGCTCACAATTCCATCTAAAATTTACCCATGCTAAAGGTCTATTATGGTGTCTTACTATAGGATTTCATACATTTGAGGAAATGTTCATGACTAGGGTTCCTTAATGGTCACCCTGGAAGTTTCATTGCACCACTTTGAATTGAGTATGTAAAATTAATCCTGCATTCTATTATTAATTACATCAACTGTACAAAGGATGTTGACATTGCTAAACTGACTCTTAAATTGCAAAGTTAGAGAACTGGAATGGCTTGACGCATGCACTTCCTTTGTTGAGCCTGTACAAATCCTTTATTTTAAAATACATGTCATCATGAGGGAGCTATTTTTAGTGTTCAGTTAAGTTAAATGGGAAGTTGAAACATAATGGCTATGTTTTGATTAACTTTTTCCTCTATCCAAGCCATTGTGTATTGCATTGTTCTCGTCTTTTATTTTATCTTGATTGTTCATACTTCACAGAAGCATCACATGGTGCTACTCTAACAAGTTTACACCCACAAAAAGTGGAACTGTCTTTATGCCCTTGGTGATTGACCTGTTTAATGATATGTCAAATCAATAATGCAAAGTTATCTTATTGTGCCCTCCCAGTTGTGACCCCGCCTTTTCACCAACAGCCAAAAAAATACATGTTATTGTTTCCGCTCTCTATGGTGTGTGATTATTTATCTCAGGCATGTTATTTTAATTTTGGAGCTTTAAGATGTTAGAATATTGTTGAGTACCAGGACAATTATTTTCCATATAATTAATCAATCAACCATTTCCCTTTTAAGATGTAAATCTTATGAGAAGGCCAAGAAGAAGTTGACAGTTTCAGAGGCCCCCAATATTCTGACAGTTGCATTAAAGAGATTTCAGGTATTTTGCAAGTTAAATTTAGAGATATAATGTTATTATCTACATTTTCTACATTTTCATGTATATGCATACTTTACCTTATTACATTTATGTCGCAGTCTGGAAAATTCGGGAAGCTCAACAAGCCTATTCAATTTCCTGAAATACTTGATCTCGCGCCTTTCATGAGTGGGTCTAGTGATAAGACACCCATATACAGATTGTATGGTGTGGTTGTTCATTTGGATATTATGAATGCTGCTTTTTCAGGGCACTACGTGTGCTACTTGAAGAATATTCAAAACAAGTGGTTCAAGGTTGACGACAGTGTGGTAAATCCTCAATTTCTTTTTGTTTGCACTTCTTTGAGAAAATTTCTTATGGTTCCCGAATGTACTTCTCGATTTAAGTTTTTTGTACTTGGTTGCCCATGCCCATGGTCTTTGTAAGTCATAAGCGAAATGCATAGCCAAAACTCATTGTCAGTGAATTACGATTATGAATATAAATTGGAGTACATATACTGTTTTAGGTGTGGGTCCTTCCCGGTAGTTTTAATTTTGAAACAATTCCTTACGAGTGTCTTAGTGAGATTAATGTTGGCATTGGTTTAAGCATTTTCCGTATGTTTGTCTTGCAGGTGACAGCTGTTGAAGTGGAGAGAGTCTTGACAAAAGGAGCATATATGCTTTTTTATGCAAGGTAACTTGGCTATTTTGTGTGTGTAGGCAGGGACGGGATTAATATTTGAAAAACAGTACCCGAGCCCAGCTTTTAAGAGCTGTGAGCTATGGTTAAATTCGATTTAACCGGCTAATGACAAATAACAAATTGGACTGCATAATAAGATAATAATCGGACCAAAAACATAGTATGTTTGTAGAAAGGTTCAGGGTGCCTTTAATCAAGGTTCCTCTTAATTATATTATCATTTGTCAGCTTCTCTGACCAGTTGAATTATCTTGTAGGTGCTCTCCAAGGGCCCCTAAATTAATTAGAAACATGATACTGTCCCAAGATTCAAAAAGTAAGGTCAATGAAAAGTCTACTACAACGAAAGCAAGATCTGTGTCGTCAAATTCTGGTGCAGCTGAACCCATCAGTAGTTCAGTTTCTTCAGACAGCTCACCCACCTTGGAGTCTTTCTATTCAAGATTTCACCACCTGAAAAGGATTTTAGAAGAAGACTCATCAAGTGATAGTTCATCCCTTTTCAGCAGTAACTCTGATGAACTTTCTTGCAGTACTGATAGTACCCGTGATTCAACTAGCATGGACGACTTCTCCGACTATATTTTTGGTGATTCAGGGCATGGATGGAGTAGCCCGTGGAGGAATTCTGATTCTGACTCGTCCTCATCCTCTCCCTTGAATTACAGACATTCACCATTATCTGACATGGACAAGTATGATTCAGTGTCTCCAGTTACAACCGGTTCAAGTGTGAAGACAGATAGGGGCGGTGGTATATCTCATTTGCATTCTGACACAATTTTACAGAAGAAAAAGTTAGATAGCAGTAGCATTAGCAGCAATAGTAGTAGTAGAGATGTTGACTCGTCTCTGAAAGTAGGATCTAACCATTCTAATGATAAGAACTCTGGTGTATCGAGTAGAAAGTCGAGGAAAAGAACGGATTGAAAATTTGATCAATAGGAAGCTCCGGTTCAAATAATGAGGGGATATGATATCGCTAAGCGTAATAATGCATTCGTGGAGGTGGCGTTCTATTAACAACCTAATTAGCCACCATTTTTTTGCCAATAACTTTATTAGATGTAGACCTGTAGATATACATTGTAGATCATCGTAATTATTTTTTAAATATAATAAAATGAGCTTTTATGAATTACATCATTTAATGATTTGTTTTTCTCAATTTTCTTTTATCCATTCACGTCAAAGATATTGAGAATTTATTTATGCAGCCGGTGTAAACCCAATAAAGAAACATGTTCTAATTTGTTTTTTTACTGTATTTATGCTCCAAGTTTTGGTTTTGATTGATTTATGTTTTAAGTATCCATATTTGCATTAAGAATTGAGACGAGGCTTGAAATATTTGTGACAGGGTCTGGTATGCTCAGTTTGCTCTTGTGGTCAACGTTGCAGTTATTCATCTGTTCAATGCAGTTTAGATTGCTACAAATAACACTAGATTCAAGAACAAGTTCATACAAGTTTTCTTTTCCATTGCTGCATGTGATTTGTCTGCTAACAATGTTGTTTTTTTCTTCATAGTAATATGCAAGATTTTGCTGTTTTGAAAAATTTCAATGTCCGAATTTTACCTCCCGAAGTCTAAGATATTGGAAATTATATGGCACTCGCCTACGTGGAATCAAATTAAAGCTAATTGCGATAGAGTTTTTAAATAATATTGGAACCTCCGTTTGTGGGATTTCTTCAAAGGTCATGATTGTTTTCTTGAAGGTTCATCTAAAATTTTTAATGTCTCTAACACTCTCATCACCGAACTCTTAGGTGTTATGAAAGTTATAGAGTTAGTCAAAGTGAAGGTTTGGTACAATCTTTGGTTGAAAATCAACTAGTCATATCTTCAAGCCTCCATTTAAAGTATCTTGGCAAATTCACACTAAACAGATCAATTACGTAAATATTATATCCTCTATACATTTTTTTAAAATAAAATTTTCACATTTTTAAAGAGAATAGTTGTTTTGACTCCTTACTAACTTAGTTGTTTTTTCAATTCATTTTTACTCGTTGCCCTTAGAATTAAAATATATCTCCTAAGAAATAGGCTATGATTCTTTATGTTCATTTTTCATTGAGGAGTTATGGCCAAATTTCCCCTCAATTTTTGTGAATATCCTTTTATATATCTATAACCTTATTTAAAAGAAAATTATAGTAATGTTGGATGCTTCTTCTTGGATGTCAAAATATTGAGAAACAAATTCATTTTTCTTATCTCTAATTAGTAACGTTGGCATAAGATTTCAAAAGATAGATTTCAAAAGATATATATATATATATATATATATATATATATATATATATATATATATATATATATATATATATATATATATATATATATATATATATATATATATATATATATATATATATATATATATATATATATATATATATATATATATATATATATATATATATATATATATATGGTTTTGTTCAAATCTGTATTAATGAATATTTAAATTATTGGGATTGAAATAACTTCAACTTTTTTTTATAAAGAAAATCTCATAAAAATAATTTTTAAAAATAAATAAAAAATCATTTTATAAAGCAATGACAACCGGACTCTTATCACTCTTTCCATGTTATGTTTCATTTTAATATATTAGTTTTTTATAATTTTCTTTTTGTACAATATAACTGTATGCAAGTGTAATTTTTTTACATTGATATCGAATATCAATAAAATTTAATTTTTATTCTATTAATTGATAATTTAAAATTTTAAAATTATTAGTTAAATATATATTCTTGTAATTAAGTTTCTATATTTAAATATATTTTTCTAATAACTTTTTAAAATTGTATTAATATTTTTTTTTTTTCAAAAATAACAAATATTTGACATTTCTTAATGACCTTATATATTATTAGGGCATCACGTAAAAATATAAAAATGTCTGCTGATTTCGAAGAAGTGTCTCCGGATTCACCCCAAACACACACCTTAGACAATTCTGAGTCACCCCCTAGGAGTGTGGTTTTTTTAGATCCAGAGACGCATCTCTATAACCTGTCCATAGATGCTTCTCCGTAGCATATTGAAACAGAAGTACATATCCATAAAATTTTATTTTGACAAAATAAAATTACTGTTCCAGACTGACCCAATGGCTAGGCATGACCCAATCCACTTCTGATCCTAGAACGACCCAATTGCCTAAGTCCAGCTAAGTAGGAGAAAACATTTATCTTTCTGCCTCTCTAACATGGGAGGTCGACCGATTTACCCCTGGGCCAACACTCTTCCTCGACAAGACTTGCCCGTCACGCACGGTTCCACCATCTAGAAACAGTCAAGACGCTTGTGCCCGTAACTGCGCCTCTGCCTGTAGCAACGACTAGTTATGGGCACTTCTTCCCGTTCCAACAACTAGTTCTAACAGTTACCTATTCTTCGGGAAACAGTTATTTCGCCCCGAAAATAGGGACCAATGGCCAAGCGCTGGGGGCACTATAAAAACTCCCTCATTTGAGAGGGTCAGGTATTCAATATTCACCTTGATGCACACATATTATGTACTTGCCTTCTTTCTCCCGATTCTTACTTTAACATCGGAGTGTCTTGCAGGTACATCCCCTCTTCCTCTCTCACACCCAGCATCACAGGCGTCTTTGCCCCACTTCAGATTTTGATCAGCCATCAAGATTAGTGGCGCTGTTTGTGGGAAACTTGTTATCCCCTTCTTTTCTCCCCTCATAGATTCGAGACCAAAATATTTCTTCCAAATTCCGATCATGGCCAGCCGTGACAACACACATGATGCTCGCAACTCTGCTTTCATCCCCGTTAGCAAGATTGATACTGACGGAGCAACCACCTCTCTCGGGGGCGACATCCTCCGACTAAGGGACGGAGCCACCACTTCTCCATTCCCCCGTTCGCGCATATCACAATGAGGTCCTATTCGTCCCAGAGCACCTTCCAGTTCCAATTCCGCCCAGCGCTGACCCGACCATGGCTGCCCTCCTCGAGGTTCTCAACAAGACTAACCTCCTAATCCTCAATCAGAGCGCGAGGATTGGAGCCTTAGAAGAATCCAGTCGTCCAAGATCCCATCCGTCGAGGAAAGAACGTCAAAGACCACAAAGTCCTCCTCCCCGATGCTAAAGAAACCTTCGTACACCTCCGAAGCCAGAAACCCAGACCGCCAGAAAGCGCGACCACATCTCTCCTCGGAACTAGCATTCCCCGCAACCCAAGAGGACCAGAAGAGACCACCGAGCAGAGTCCCAGCGTTTGCTTCCGCCCAGATTCGAGGGTCGGGAACGAACCCCATCTCCTCGTCGAGATCTCCATCCTACCTACAGATGGAACACCCGTTCCCCGTCTTAGTCTAGCAGAAGCAATGACGACGAGCCTCGCGGCCTGTTGTCCCAAGAGATTATGGATATGCGCCTTCCGAAGGGACTGGAGAAACCCTATTCTCTGGGCACATATGACGGTACTACGGATCCCAACGAGCACATCAAAAATATCGATGTGCTACTTGACTACCGTGGCGTCTGGGGCGCCATCAAATGTAGGTTGTTTCTGACCACACTCAGGAAAGGGGAAATGACCTGGTACAAAAGACTCCCCAAAAATTCCATCACTTCATGGAGACTGCTGGGGAGAATGTTCTCCAGACACTTCACGGCCTCTCACCGACACCCGAAGATCGAAGCTTCCCTTGAGGCCATCATTCAAGGGAGGGATGAACCCCTGCGAGCCTACATCGAAAGGTTCAATAAGGAGGCTTTCCAAGTCTCTGCGACCAATGACATAAAGAAATTTCTGCTCGAGCACGAGCTCCATCCCCGCACGGAGTTTGCTAAAGTTGTAGGCATTCAGCCCCTAACAACACTGGACACTTTCCTTCTCAAAGCACAAGCGTACATCCAGTACAAAGAGAAGGAGGCCGCCAGTTCTTCCCAAGATTCAAGGCATCGTGAGAATGCCCGATCCTCCAGGTCCGACGAGCCCTTGACATCTCGTCAAGGAGATAGAAGGCGCGAAGACCGTCCCCGAGAGCCCCGTGACAACAAAGGGCCCTCCGGCTAATTCCACAAGTATACTCCCCTGACAGTTTCTCGGGAAAAGATCCTTTCTAAATGTGCCAACTCAGAATTCCGACAGGCGGGGCTTTTTTCCCGAAGCAGATACCATCCAAACCAAACACTGACAAGTCAAAATATGTTGGTTCCACAAGAGCCACGACCATATGACTGACGACTGCATTCACTTGAATGATGACATAGAGATACTCATCAGGGATGGACATTTGAAGCAATTTGCCAAACTAAAGTATGCTCCTCGGCAGGACGCCCAGGAGTCCAAGAAGGTCGAGGAAGATATACTTTCCTCTGAAGAAACCAGCCTTCAGGTCGCTATGAGCATCTCGCGGCCTGAAGATTTCTACATCACCGAGGGGCTCAACGCTCCTCTATATTTTTCCACGCACATCCCATGAGAGAATTTCCCCTCCGCCATGGTCATATTCGGATGGGGCTTCAATAAAGTCACAGTAGGGCCCGTCAAAAGAAAAATTGAGCACCTTATTAGCAACAGCTCGAACAGGAACTCCACCCTCGACAAGGTCTGGGGAGAGTTTGTTTCCATCAGCTTTTAAAGTGAGGAGCTCCTCGGTGGAGCCCTCAACTCCAATATCCCTCTGCTCGTGAGGGCTTAGATGGAAAATTTTAACGTTTGACAAATCCTTGTCGACTAAGGCAGCTCAACCGATATTATGTATTCTCAACTGTTCTCCACCCTCCAGTTGGACGAATCACATCTGACTCCCTACGTGGGCTCTGATCTGCAGGGTTTCAATGGGTCAGTGACGAAGCCCTGGGGTTACGTAGAGATGATTGTAACCTTCAGGTCCGCTTAAATGACCAGGTCAATCAAGGTTCAGTTCCTGGTCATCGAT